TTATTAAATATTATTCTTATAAATTTTTAATTATAAACATATAAATATATTATTCTTAAATAATGTTTATATTTATAAATTTTTACTATATATTTTAAAAACTTTATAAATATTCTTAAATGCTCATATATTTATATTATGTTAATGATTTTATTATATTATATATATAAATCATATTTAAATATATAACATAAAGTGTGATCTTAAACCTTAACTCATTTTTAGTTTGGATATTTGATATGTATGATAGGATGAATTTGTGTTTAAGATTAGATTGACATATTATTATATTAATTTTATTTATTTTTATTAATATTATTATTTATTACGTCATCCGGTTCGTCTTCGGTTTGATTGGTCGAACCACGAACCTCTTCTTCTTCCGTTTCATTGTCCAATCAAATTTTCACAACCTTGGATTTACATATAAGGCCTTTTCTCTTCAGAATGAACATTCTATAGTTGATTCTTGAATAGAGAATAATCATCATCAAAATCAATTGTGTGCTTATTGTTTGAGGCTGATAATTGATGATTTGATCTCTAAATCTATAAGTGTGTTTAATGTGCTTAGGCACTTGCCCAAAGCATTGTGTCGAGTTTCCTCTAACAATGTGCTCATGCGAGCTAGCTTTAGTGACAATGCATACAAAAAGAGAATAATTGCACTTTTTTCGTGTTTACAATGTGCAGGGGTACATAAACATAATCAACCCAATCATGTACTTTGCTCATAATCCAATTTGAAAATCAATGAGTGCTAAAGTAGACTTGATGAAGCAAGTAAAACATGTTATTAATCATTTTCAATGCATGCTTTTGCAGAAGACATGTTAATGTATTCTTTATTTTAATCATCTATACCCCCACAGAAGTTGCCAACTGGAAGGAAGAGTTGCATGTCCCGCACTCTGAAAGATCATTTGTACCAATGTCCAAGCATATTGTCTGAAGAACTTGTGAAATGCATGGCTGCTATATACTGTTGGATGCGCCGTGATGCTTCAGTAAAGCCAGAAAAAGTTCATTCTCCCTTCTTATCAAGATCATCAACCAAGGTTGTACTTTCAAGGAGAGGTGGTGCCGGAGATGGCCAAGAACCGTCCTCCCGATCTATGGTGGAGATATTTTCATTATCAATGGACAAGAACCACTTATCAAGCGTTGCATATGCAGTTAGTAACTATAGGTTGGTGAGAGAGCAGGTGTTGTGTCTTTTTGTTCCATTTTTTTCCACGCTGACAAAACTAATCTTTTGTTTTTTTTTTTATTTCAGACTACTGGTGGAACAGCTGGAGCGCGTGGATGTTAGTGCTCTGGAATGTGGTGCAAAGTTGGCATTTTGGATTAATGTGTACAATTCGCTCGTGATGCACGTAAGTGTTTCTGATTAAGGCTTTGTTTGGGACGGCTTTCTTCATGCTTTTTAAAGTGGTTTTATAGTACAAAATTTTTAATTTTTATACTATAAAGCTGCTTTACGAAGCAGTAAAAAAGCCGTCCCAGACGAAGCCTAAAAAGCACCAGCTTATGAGAAGTTGAGATTTTTTTTTTTAAATTTAGGTCATTTATTACGCTTTTGTGTGCAGGCATATTTAGCCTATGGAGTTTCCCATGGTTCCTTGAGGAGATTGGCTTTATTTCACAAGGTATTATTCTTCTTGTATATATTCATGTTCAAATGCTAATCATTGAATAGTAAGCGTGGGGTTATTGTTTGCCTCTCTATGTTCAAATTGAGGAATTCCTCCACCATTAAATTTTACGTCAGGTGAGTTTTCAATTTTGATTTTTCCTATGTGGTTTAACAAACTGTGATTGTCTGTCAGAAAGCTCGCCCAGATGGCGTGCGAATGATCTAAAAAAAGGTGGGTCAATTTTGCGAGCCATATATGGGCCATTTGGTTATTAAAATTTTAAACAAGCTCATCTATAACCAAACAACAAGGCAATTATTTTAGTCCAGCGTACTTCCAATGTTAGGAATGGCGAGCAATGGTCTCAAATTTCATGTAGGTTAATCAAACATAAAATTTCGGGTACTCTCCCAGTCCATTTATAGATATTTAAAACATGTTCATTAATCCAAAAAAGTGGCATTTGGCATCCTGTAATTGCTGTACGGCATTAATTGATGCTACAACTTTATATATGATAAATACTCTAAAACTTTGGCTATTTTGCCTAGTGACAATGCAAATCTCAAATTTAAATCTAAACATTTAATTTATTTACAAACCACTTAATTTTTTAGTGTTGATAAGCTGCCTGCTACATTTTGATGGTGGTAATTTTTAACTAATTGTATCATCATTTTCATCAACAATAACAACATCAAGCCTTTATCCCACTACGGGCGGTTAGCTACATGAATACTTTTTCTCCATTGTGTCCAATTAAGAATCAAATTCTCATTTAAATCTAAAGAAAAAAGGCCATTTCTAATACTTTCTAACCAAGTATTTTTAGGTCTGCCTCTACCTTTCTTAATATAAGCCAGATCTAATACATCCACTCTCCTAATCAGGTCATCAGAAGGGCGACGTTTTATGTGACCAAACTATCTAAGACGACTCTCTCTAAATTTATCTGCCACTAGAGCTACTCCAACATTTTCACATATATATTCGTTTTATATTTTATCTCTAAATGTAAAGTCTCTCATCCATCTGAGCATTCTCCTCTCTACAACACTTCACTAAATTTTATGCTTCTCTTTTGATGTCCGACTATCATATGGCACCCTCTTTCAGCAATGCTCCTCATTCTCCACTCATTTCTCCCAACATATAATAATTTAGTTATGAAAAACTAATTTAAAAAATAAAAAAAGTTATTTTTAAATGTTTCAATCATCCCTTGCAACTGCACTATATTATTATAGGCATTCTATTTCTTAAAGGGCGTCCTCTTTTAAGTTAACAGAATGTTCTTTATTGCATTAGGCGTGTCTCTACTTTATTAAAAAATAAGATATACAAAACAAATAGGTTTTTGTTTTTTGTAGGTTACCATCTCATGAAATTGCCATAACTTGAGTATGTGCACTTGTTGATGAAAATAAGAAAGCAAATTTCTCCAGGATATTTCGCGAGGGAAATGACTGATTTAGTATTAGAGTACCGTACTGTCATGATTATGCACAAAGAGCAGTTACAATGATGAAACTGACGTAGTTTCTGTCACACTGTTTCGTCAATAATAATCTGAAAATGCTTTCTATGTTAATCTGGTAGAAGGTTTGGGCTTCATTTGGGATGGCTTTTTTTATTGCTTCTTAAAGCAGTTTCCAAGTACAAAAATTACTAGGAAGCTGCTTTAAGAAGTAGAAGAAAAGCCGTCCCAAACAAAGCCTCAGTATGCTTAGTTTCCGATGTGTTCCATTGTGATTCTGAAGATTTTGTAATGCTCATTGACAAGAAGGCTTCTGATAGGAAATGTTAGCATATCTTGTATTAGCTAGATTATTTACTTCTAATTGGAAATATGCATGCTTTTCAAACATTTTTCTCCTAGATACTTATTATCTTGCTAAGATTTATAAGCAACGTTGGAGTGTTTTGGTTTCTCGATCAGCAAGATTTACTGATAATCTTCTCCTGTTCTGCAGGCTGCATATAATATTGGTGGGCTCATCATCACTGCCAATTCAATAGAGCATTCCATACTCCATTGCCGGACACCTCGAGTTGGTCGTGTATGATCTGATCTCTGATCTTTCCTTCATTAAATTGTCTGCTAACTCTCTCCAAAAATATTTTAGATCCTCGCATTTCACTTGTACATTGGATGGGAATTGGTTATTAATATACTCAAGTTAAAGAAACATATGAAGAAATCTGATTTCATCTTTAGAGCATGTTAAAAAAAATCTCATGCTTCCACTGAATTGGTGATTTAAGATTTAGATGAGAGAGAGAGATAAAGGAGGTGTATGTTTGATTATTCGGATTTCATTTGTTAGTCTTTTTTTCTATGTTAGTGTTGCGGGCTAGAATATACACGGCGATGGAGTTATGATCTTACGTCTTAGCATTGTACGGACATCCAGCTCACACACAAAGAATACAAGATTTTTTACGTGGAAAATCCTGGAAAGAGAAAAAACCACTGGGCTTAACCCAGTTAAAAATGATTCAACTAGAATTCAAGTAGATTACAATGGGCTGACTCGTCCGTGAGGGCGATTAGATTACAAATGTCAACCGTATGGTTAAAATCTAGTGACAAATGGAGATGAAAATCTGGCATCACTTGGTGGTCCGTTGGAAGTCTAGAGTTACTTGGAAATTCGGGCGTCAATTGGTAGTCCAATGATGGTTTGGCAGAACTTCGACGTCGGAAGGTGGTTCGACAAAATTCTGATATCAGGCAGTGGTCCGATAAAACTCCAGCGTTGGGTAGTGGTCTTAAAGAACTTCGGGTGTCGGGGTGTTATGGTAGAACACCAGGTGTTAGGTGATGGTCTGGCAGAACTCCGGGTGTCAGGACATGGTCCGGCAGAACTCCAGGTGTCAGGAGATGGTCCGGCGGAACTCCGGGTGTCAGGAGATGGTCTGACGGAACTCCGGGCATTCGGTGGTGATCTTGCGGAACACCAGGCAATAGGTGGTGGTTTGTTGGAGCTCAGTGCATTAGGTGGTGGTCCTGCGGAACTCCGGGCGTCAGGTGGTGGTCCGGTGGAGCTCAGGGCGTCAGGTGGTGGTCAGGCAGAACTCCAACGGTGGTCGAGAAGGCAAGGAGGCAAGAGCGATCTCCGATCTATCTCTTTTGTCCTTAGGCTTAGGGTTCCCTTTTCAAGAGGAAGGAGGGGTCTATTTATAAACTTCATAGAGTGTCATGGCTCGTAAATAGGAGGAGAATCAAGAGCAAATGGGGAGTGGTTTGGATGGACGATCAATGTTGAATCCCTTGATCGTAAACCGTTCACTAGATATTTGAAGGTCTTAATGATGTCGGAACTATGTGATCTTGGGTTTGTTGGATTCGTCTCGTCGAGCCGCTCGATTTGACTATAAGCATGTCACGTTTGGAAACTATTTGATAATCCAAATTATGGTTCGAACCATCCAACAGCACTTTGGGCCCTTGATTTGGACCGATTTTGGCTCGGATTGAGTCGAATTTGGTGTCGTTGGGTTCATATTTCTGAGACATTCAGTTCAACTGTAAGGTTTGTTGAAATCGGAGTTCGGATGGTCCCAATTTTAATTTCGGAAGTTTCAAACCTGATTTGCCTTGAGATTCGTGACCGATCATGATAATTTTTTGATGATGTATCAGCTAGTAATATCTGCATAGAAAATGAGTCAGATGTTAGTTCTGCTATTTCCTGTTAATTTGCTGGGTTGGCTTCCTTACATTTGTTTGGATTAAAGTTTTTTGAAATTGTTGCGTAAGCCAAATTTCTACATGATGGCATTATAAAATACAACATGCATAAGGATGGCATCATTTTAATTGAAACAGTCATTCATGTGAGGTGATTTGAAATCTGGCTGCCATGAGGAAGAAAACTACATTACACAAGAGATGCACTTTATCTGCTCACACTCCATTCTTCTCATGCGGCTTATTTGGTTACATGTTAGAAGAAATGCGAGTGAGAACTGGATTACTTCAGCTATTTAGTTGATTGGAAAAGAAATATAATGCAAAATTAATGCAGTGTAAATGGAATGTAGCATGTAAAAGGAGAATAATTTAGAGTTGTTTGGATGAGTGTAAAATAAATGCTTGAAACTTTTTTTTTTTAAATGAAAATGAGTGCAATGTAAAGTCCAAAAAGGGTGGCGTTGGCCGGCGGTAGTGCCCTGCGTTGGGCGGAGGTGGGAGGTGGACAGCGGCGAGTTGCGGCGGTGGTGGGTGACTGCCGCTGCTGACATTGGTGGCTGGCTGTAGCGACCAGTGGTCAATAACTTCAGTGGTGGCGGAGGTCGGTAATGGGTGGTAGTGGTCGTGGTTAGTGGTTGGCGGCGGGAAGTGACTAGCGGCGGGAAGCGACAAAGGAATGGATTTATGATATATTTGGAACTCGTCTAAATTTGAGGAATTCCAAATAGAGTAAAAATGAACTAGTTGGTGAATCCCAAATGCATCAAAATTTTATACTACATTTGTTTTACTTCAAACTAAACACCAATATTCTTAAAACCTTTACACCTGGAATACTTTACACCCCTTTTTACTTCTGTTAAATCTCAACCGTCCCTTAGCCCTTGATCTCATAGTTAGGATGGGGATCCGTGGGAGGGTCACCTAGATCACGTCGATCTTCTTCCATATTCGGGTGATTGATTTAGGAAGGATTATATTATGGCAATCATGCATGATTTTGTAGTTATTTGTTTTTTTATTAAGATATCCCGTATAGATCTATAAATAGTAATAGTTGTGTATAATAAAATTGAACATTTTCTTCTCCAATTCTTTGAATTTAACAACTTAAAACCAAACACCCCTTAGTCATTTGATTTTAGGGCTATATGTTCCTAATCACACTTCTGAAAGTCATTAAATATGATATTCTTATGTTTTTTGAAATTTCATTATCACTTTCGCTTTCACGTGCATCCATCACCCACATACATTTATAAATACATTTAAATAATATAATTTTTGGCATAAAATGTTATAGTGCATATTCAAATTAAATACATAATATTAACAATTGAGGAAAATTTTAATTTATAGAAAAATATGTGATTACAATATAACATAAATATATACTGTGAATACTATGTATTCATAAATTTATGTAATATGCATGCACATATCTATTTGTACATTTATTTATAATATATTTATAACAATATTATGATAATATATTTATAACAATAATTAGAAAAGGAAGCATTAATTATTTCTCTAATGGACTACCAAAAAACTTTTTTATAAATGTCTCCCTAAATTTCTACTTTCAGATGTGGGAAATGTCCCTTCCTCTCACCTACATACACTGAAATAGGCCATAATAGTTGACATATTTATGCGCTCGGGCCACTAAATTAATTTCTCTTAAGTTGTTCCATAAGGCTACAGATTTTGATAGATACTGTTGAAGCATTAGAAAATCCTGTTATTTTCATTGAAACTGCTTTTAGCTTCTGCTATCTTCAACATAATTTACATGTTCATCTTCAGTGGTTTGAAGCCATAATCTCCACTGCCATGAGGAAGAAATCTGCAGAAGAGAAACAGCTGATTAGCTCAAACTTCACTCTTCTCACATCACAGCCGCTTGTTCTCTTTGCCTTATGCACTGGAGGTTCCTCTGATCCTATGGTACAGTCTTCTATCTGCCAGTTTCTGCTCTTCGTTATGTAATATATACATTCTTACAGCTCTTGTTCAGTGCAGCTAAGGGTCTACACTGCCAAGAGTGTCTTGGAGGAGCTTGAAATGGCAAAGAAGGATTTTCTTCAGGCGAACATTTTTGTAAAGAAATCAAGGAAGATTTTCCTCCCCAAGCTTCTTGATAGATATGCCAAGGAGGCCAACCTCAGCAGCGAAGAACTAGTTGCTTGGGTCTCTACCAACACGGATAAGAAGTTGAACGAAGCGATTCTGAAATGTGTCAATGGGAAGAACAAGAAAGCAGCCCAAGTCATTGAGTGGCTGCCATACAACACAAAGTTCCGCTATGTATTTGGTAAGGATTTAATAGAAAAGCCATGGTGGTTGTAAGTAAACACAGTTTTTAAATTGTTGCTTCAGTTGGTTGTGACTTCTGATAACTCGCCAATTCTGTTGCATTTCGTTCACTTTTTTTTGTTTTTTTTTTAAAGTTTCTTTGGCAGCTTTCTTATGGTGCGGAAAAATTATTCTGTGTGGAAGTCGAATCCCGTCCGGATATCTAAGCCCGTGGCTCAGTACCGCTCGGTACCAAGGTATCGGGGCTCGATACTGCTTGGTATTGCAGCTCGATATCGCTGATGTGGCTCATTCTGGTTGGTATCCAGATGTAGAGTTGCGCCCGGCGTCCGCACAGAATAATCTCTCGTGTAGTTGAGTCATTATTAGGTAAACACCTTTTGCACAGGAAATTTATATCATAATAGCTGAAATCTAAAAAAAATGCTAATTATTTATTTTCATAGGGAAGAAGTATGAATAGAAGTTTATTTTAGATTAAAATGTCCTTCTTATTCTTATATCCAAATATATTAGAGGAACGATGTCTAGTTCTTCCGCGCTTCATCTTAATCCATTGCTGTTGCTGCCTCACATTCGAAAAAAAAATTTTCCCGCTTAGAAGTTGACATTTTTCGTTCAGGGCATCTCCATCCGAACGGCAAACCAGTGTTTGCCGTTCTTTCTTCCCTCCAACCGAACGCGATACTTTGCGGCATCTGCAGGGAGGTGAACAGTGCGACGCCAATATTGGCGTCGCACTGTTCATTTTGGTGTTAGAAAATGGAGTTCGGATGGAGACAAGTTACTGCATTTTGGTGTATTACTACATTTTGGAGTGAAAAATGAGTTTTTTGGTTGGAGATGGTCTCATCGAAGGCTTCAACATATATAGGTACTATCTTTTCTAATGTTTATATCATATATCATAAATTTGGTCATTTGTTTTAGCTTTACTTAGAGCTAGATAGAATGCTAAGAGTTTTGTTTCGAATCTTATATGAACATGTGTTCGTACTAATTGAAGATAGTTTGAATATGTTCTAATACATGTTCGAACTTTGTTCGGACGATGATGTTCGAACAAGTATACTAGTTCAAACCTCTTTCAAATATGATTTGAATATGGATTGAATCATATTCAAATATGTTCGATCGTGGTTTGAAACATGCTCAAATGCTTTTATAGTAAACTAGAGGGATTGCGAGATTGATTTATTGCTTTTATAGTAAACTAGAGGGATTGTGACATTGATTTATTTCGTGAGGAAAAAATAGAGATTATTGTTGATATTTAGCTTGATAATGAAGGGAATTTTCAAGTATGTTTACTACTTGTTAGGTGTGTCAAAGATTTCAAAAGTAAATGAAGTCGCCCATGATGAGTATGGATGGAACATTTTTGAATACATGTTGTGGGGTATTTTGCTTATTGTAGTGGCATAAGATGTACATAGATTTATCTAGTAGCATTTGCGGTAGTTGGCCAAAAAAATAATGAGTTATGGATAATTTCATGCTCGAATTATGCAAGTCAGTAGGCACAGTAGAAAACTCGGAGTTTGTCTCTAATAAATACTAATGGGGTTCCCAAATGAAATAAACAAAGTTGTGTAAACCTCCATTGGTGAAGCCAAATGGTGGTCATCCAACATAAAATATAAGGCCTTCAAATGGGGAGAAGGATGCGGTGTAATGTAGGTTTATTCGATTTGGAGTGAGGAGTCATAATCAGGTTGCTTGTAATACTAAGTGTGCACCGCCTTCATAATACTTTTTACATTGCTCCTTGTTATTAAAACAACTTTTTAGCTTCTTAGAGTTAAGGAAATTCTTGAAATAACAACATTGATTAGCTGTGCAATGATGTAATGCTTGGTATCTTGATGTGTTATAGTAATTAGCTTACATTATGTTGTGTTTGCCTTATAATTTCTTATGTTATAGCTATTGTGATTGTACTCTGGGTATCAACCTTGTAACCGTTTTGTTAAAGTTGTTGTAACGTACTAATGCATTATATTTGATCTACTCTAGGCTAAACCTATTGAAATCTTATTTGAACATGGTTTGAACACTATTCGAATGAGGTTAAAACTATGCTCACTTATTTGAGTACCTTTTATATAGGGTTCAAATTTTCTCTAATATAGTTCGAACATAATTCATTCAATACAGAGTTCAAATAAGTAGTTCACAGTCAAAAGCGAGATATTTTAGTTTGAAACAAATTTTTTGATGTATTTTCGTAATAAAACAATAGTTAGCATATTTGTATAGTTCTTATAATTATAGGACGGGTGCACATACAAATATATATATATATATATATATATATAATCAATAAATAAGAAATTATATTCTAATACACTATGAATAATATTTCAATATATAATATTTTAGTATAACTAATAAATCATGATTTACTTATTATTATTATTGTGCGTATAATTTTAATATATCATAAAGTATATTATTATTGTTCCGGCTCTTGTTTACAACCGGCCTAGGGGAAAAGTATGGAGGAATAAAGGGAAACAGGGGAGATCAAAAGATAAAAAAGCCGGGGATGCCCATTTTTGAAAGTGAGGATGCACATGGGTGGATCTATAAGGTGGAGAGGTACTTCAACATCAATGGGTTGATGGAGTTGACAACAACATATATATATATATATATATATATATATATATATGATTAATTGCATTAGACTATCAGTATAATATGAAGAAAAAAATATGAATTAGCTTTTATTTTAATTAATTTACTTTATTTTTTTGTTATGTCCAAGATAAAGATATATATTTTTGTTATTTTGAATAAAATAGCATTAATGAATTAATAATACTTAATATTTTAAAAATGGTCCTTAAATATATGAATCATAAAGATATTAAAACTATATACAAATGTATTAAAAATAGAAAAAGTAATCAAAGATTTTCATAAATGTTATATCAATGCACGTTTTGTTAAAATAGGGAAAGTCCTATGCTCCCTATTAATGCATGTTATCTTTAATATTATGCATAATTGTATTAAGAAATAAAATTCAACAGAATTATATTTTTATATATAATTGCATATCCCATAATTTCCTAACAAGTTGGGCCCTAAATTCGAATTCAAAACAAAACTTCAATTTAACATTTTGACCTCCCTGTAAGTAGTTGAGATGCATTGATGATTTATACTTGTCGAAGATGATTGATTTCTCTCTCTCATTCATATGAAAATTGATCAGTTCAAAATCTTGAACCCGCACTAAAAAAATTGCTATTTATTTAAGATCATCTATGAATGGGAGACGAAAAATTTGATAACAAATCTTTCAAAATTTTAAAACTCCCCATATAAGAAAATCCTTTAAAAAATTTACAATGTTCTCATTCCCAGTTAGAATTTTCTTTGTAATTTTGTCTAAGGTATGGGTTTTGGGTTACTACTAAGTAGGATTAAATCTCTATACCCCCCTTCTTAATGCAATCCTATTTAATAAACTTAGGTTATAATTTTAACCTCTAAAATCTCTCTAGTATAACCCAAAAAGACTTAGTCATGCCTTGCTTAAACACCAAAAGATCCAAATTCCCTTAGGTTTGTCCATTCTATAATGCCAATGCTAATTCACTAGATCAACACCTTTGCTAGAAACCCTAGGTATGATTCAAGTTTTAGAAACCCCTTCTTAGTATAGTCATTGAAAACCAATAAGAGTCTAGCCTTGTTTAGACATCTGAAGATCCAAAACCTTCTCTAATTTTCTTGATCTACTGTGTCATATATGATTCAGTAGATTATTACCTTGGCTCTGCTTAATAAACTATTATAAGTAGCACAAATTGTTATATTTGTTAGTGCTTATGCTATCAAATCAAAGATCTTGAATTCGAAGCTTATATATATGATGTGTGTGTATTTTCATTTAATTCATTTAAAATTCTAAAAAAAATTATTCTAGTTATTGAACCTAATATTTTAAGAATAAAAATTAAGATTGAGTTAAATAATTAAAGTTTTTCTCTATTTGAATGGAAGGGCACTCTAATTTATCAATATTTTATCTAAAATTATAATTAAATTTATTCAATATGAAAAAAAAATTAATTTATTTTCCCCAAAAAAAAAAAATCAATTTCCCTAAAAAAAACTCATTACGTGTCATATTGTCACTGGTTGAATGAAAACATCTAATCCCAACGCACCGCCGAATCGTTAGGGTCCGCAGCTGACATCACTGACACGTGCAAGAAGGAGATGAAATGGCGCGCCCGTAAATCTTCCAAATCCCAGGGGCTAATGTGCAACGCAGTCTATTCCCGATTACAAAAAAAGGCTGGAGTTAGTAGATTGAGAAGGAGAAAGAGTGCTCCGGCCAGTTGCGCCTCCTTCTCTTTAGACTGTGAAAGACCGACGATTTGTGGGAAAAATCTCGGAGCAAAGCCGGTGGTGAAACTCGGTTCGACCGCCTCGCGGCGTCCCACGATGTGGAGCATCGGGGTTAGGGTTTGCTTGTAGGACAGGCTTGAAGAGATGACATCCGCCGCTCTCGGGAAATGAGCCGTGGGATCGCCGTTGGATTCGGGGTTCGCTAAGTGAACGGCCACGATTGGGTCTCCTGATGGAGGGGAGTAGCACCGCAGGCGCTCTTTCTCTGGTATACTTGCTCTTTTACACTGCCCCTTAGTTCTTACTCTGCTTCACGCCTTCACGGTCTGGGGTCTTGCTTCCGCCTTGAAGCTACTTTTTCATGAATTAAGTTAGGGTTCGTTGCGGTCTTCTTTTTTATGTTAAAGTTCCGGGGAAGGCTTCGTTTGATTGTTTTGCTTCTGTTTTCTTTTTGAAGCGCTTAGGGTTTCCTTATGTGGATATTATTTTGTGGGCTCCGGGAAGGAATTGTCGTGGTTAGTGATGGTTTGAGCCGTTGTTCTGGTGATTATGCGGGTGATTATGCGTTGATAGTTCTTTGGCCATTTTGTTTACACTGGCCCATTTTGATGCGTTTCACTTTATTTTTGTTAAGTTTCCGGGATTGTGATTGCTGCCAGACAAGCTGAAAACCTTTTTTTTTTTGCTTTGCCAATTTGTATTCTTTTGTAGACCAGAAGAATTGTTGGGACCAATCTGTGAAATTCTATTATCTGCAATTTCATAGTGATCGGCTCTTCCTATCAATGAAAGTCCGGAACTCAGTGTTTTTAAACGTCTCACTTAATTAATTTCTGAATTTAGCACTTCACTTTTCCACTACTTGTGCCAACTATTTTCAAGCATATCTTTTTAAATGACCTACTTTGTCAGCAGCTGTAGCTCTTCTATTTGTGCTGTTTTTGTTTCACATTAATATTTTACTATATAGTCCAGGTAAATAGTAGCATAAATTTTCTTTGAATTGCAATGTGTGGAGGTGTGATTAATTTTGTTTTGAGGGACAAAATTGAGAGTTGAACTTGTGTCTCTTTTAGATTATGCTTTGTGATAGAAACCGTTTCTTCTTGAGTCAATTTCATGTCTATATGTATTTTTTTCCCAAGGTTTAAGCACTTAGACATGCATGAGTGGCTTTTTTGCCAAGAAAGAATGAATTATTAAATGTACATCTTCAATATCTGCTATATCAATGGTAAGAAACATTCAAATCCAGTTGGTTTTTGTTTGTTTCTTATATGCATCAATTTGTTTCTTATACTGCTTTAAGGGTGCTGTTGGACAAAATGATTGGCTGGTTGATTAGGAATTTCACAGAAATAGCTTTAGATTTTGTAAATGTGACAAAATACTTTAGAATTGTTGAACTAGGTTAAGAAATATTTATAGGCAAAGTTTTCACAAAATTTCAATTAGTACTTAAAATCATGGTTTAAAATTGCGCAATATGAGGCCCGCCTTTGCATATTTTTTTTTTTATGAGGCTTGCGCCTCAACTTGGTTGAGGCCCGCTTAGCCTCACTGGCATGAGGCTTACGCAGTTACGCCTCATGCTATATATATTAAAACTTACATAAATATTGAAGTAAATGCCCGACATTGGACTCTATAGGAGAGGAGGAAGGGGAGAGAGCAGTTCACCATAATGATGATTCAAATGAAGAACCCCTTAGTGATGACAGTACTGATGACTTATGAGTTCTTATGTGATATGTCATTGCTATTTATTTTTGAAAATTGGAATTATATGTTAATGAAAAGAATATTGGGATTTGGGAAAGATAGAATTTTGAGATATTTTGATTTCACTTCATATCTTATGTTTTTTTATGTTTTATATTATCCACTCATTAGTATATAAAAAATTTATCATTTTATGTTTACGCAATCTTTTGATTTTGAGGCTTACGCCTCAAAACGCCTTGAGGCTTATGCCTCGCCTCACGAATGAAGAACGCCTCAATACCTGAATACACAATTTTAAACATTGCTTAAAATGGACTATTTTTGGCAGTGCATCTACTCAAATTTCAGTTTAATCTCCTTGATGCGTGCTATTTCCAGCAGTACTGATAAGATAAATTTTTTGTTATGTTCAGGTGGACTGCATGTAGTTAAATACTAACCTGATGTGTGTTGATAAATCAAGAATTTTAAATTATGTCTATTTGAAATCCTACAAAATTTGTTTTTCTAGAAATAAAAAAATGACTGAATTTTAGAAGGTTTACAAGTTATGATCAAAAGAGTGAAGCCAAGTCTGATTAAGTAAATAACTCAATTCTTGATTTATAAAGGTAGCAGATGTAGACAGTTCTATATTAATGGAAATGCTGGAAGTGTTTGTTTGTAAAGAATAGGTACTTTTATTATTGGACTTTTGTATAAATATGTGCTATGAAGTAAGGGAGTATAAAATGATGGATGTTTGTGGACATGATGTTGACCAGGTGTGAATTAAGAGTGGAATATTAAGGTTATTAGTGAAGATGTGGTCTTATTTAAGTGAAGTATTAAGGGGCTTGTATGGTAGGCCGAGAACACGATGATTATGGGTAGTTTTTTTTTTAAATAAAGGAAATAGGTGGATATGAGAGCTCGACCAATGTCTTTGGCAGTGATTTTAATGTTGGGTGTGTGTGGGAAGATGGAATACGGCAAAAAAAAAAAAAAAAATTGCAACCCATAGTTGGCCTATAAACCTCCCATGGCCATGTGATCATTTGAAAGAATTGGTTGATCAACTATACTTTCTTTTCACTTTTGTATAATGAGAGATTCATATAGAAGATTAGATAGAGGCCTAGGTTCTTATTGAATTTGTTGAACTCACAAGTTTGGTTCAGATTTTTAAATGAAGGCAAAATTAAGGAAGAATTTTGGTAAATATTGCATCTTTAAAAATTTAAAGTTTTAATAGTACAATCAATCACATTTGACTTAATATTTATGTGGAGATGTCACCGCTAATATTGTGCAGGTTTGCCCTTTATTTATCCATTGATTCATAAGCAAGTTAAAATGACTCCAAATAGCTAGGGTAAGTCTAATGATGATGGTGATTCCTAGTAAGAAGATGATGATTCTGGTTAAAATCCACTTTTGTGATATTTCCTGTAGAAAAATTACTAAAATTTACAAAATAATTCACCTGAGAACATTATGTATTTTTTCATTAGTGTTTCCTGAAAAATATTTTGTTCTTATCACTTTTGTCCATTACCAAACTTCACGCATACAAAAAATGCCTATTGATCCTAAAGCTTGTGTGAAAGTTTACATCTACTATAGATGTTAGCTACTTAGCTTTAAACTTTTAGGTGATCTTTTCCATTAATGTGAAATGTGGATCTTTGAAATTAGACAAAAGTGTTGTTGGGGCCAACTGAATAATTCTTATTTTAGTTTTATCAAGTGCTCATCTTACTTTTAATATTTAATTTACTAATGTAAACCTTTGTTTCTTTTAACAAAGGAAAATGTCAAGATAAGAGTATGCATTTGGTATGGGATGTAAATTATTTGGTTGTTCTAATAATATTGTACTTATTTCTTTATTATGGATGTGTGGGGTGGGGTGTTTCTTAGTGAATTATATATATATATATATATATATATATATATATATATATACACATATATTATTAAAGCAATTGTAGTTGCTCACCCCGCCTCTCACCCATTCGAACAACCTTCTCCCCTTCACAATCTTGACTCACCCTATTACTTAGCACGTAGCTATGTAATTTATAAATCCTTTTGCTCTTGCACGCGATCTCCCTGCTCGTATATGACCATCCCCAACCTTGATTTGCAACGCTCGCTTCTCTCAATACATCGGATCCCATCCACAATCACGAGCCAACTACTTGCTCACCCAGTCCCATCGGCCCCATTATTATTGTGCCTACCTTTGGGCCAATTAATTCCTCCATGATCTAAGCTCAAAATTAGCTTCTATAACTCTCTTTCTCGACGTTGTCATTGCATCCCAATCTCCTCTTAATGAATCAAAACTATCTTCCACAATTGGCACTAAAATCAAAATTTGAAGGTACCAACTATTTTTTGTGTTTGCAGGTCTTTTGCTTTCTTGTCGGTTCTCGTAATAAACACCAACGCTTTGATGCATCTCTCTCATAAATCCAAGACATGATTAATTTTGATTAATGGAAAATGCTTACTGCAATTTTTTTACCTAGCTGTTGAACAGTCTTGAACCCTCCATTTCTTTCGCAGTGATGTTTTATGACGCTTCTAAGAAGATGTGGGACTTTCTTTAATATTTCTATTGTGTATACTCTTTATTCTAAGCTTTTTTATTTCCAACAAATGCCATCTATATCCAATAATACTACGGCATGAGAGGAGAATGGGATGAGTTATTATAGCATTGCACCTTCACTACTAATCAAATTATTTGATGAAAATCGAATGAAGAATATCTTATAGCCAAATTTATTTTCGGCTTACATCCTTCCCTACAAAATGTTCATTTTCAACTAATGGTAGACTCCACAGTTCCCTACAAAATGTTCATTTTCAACCAATGGTAGACTCCACAGTTCCAAATATTGCAATCAGTTCTCTCTTAGGTGATTCACATAATTTAGCTTTGTATGCTACAAACTCCAACGGCTGAACAGTCACATTAGCTGCTAGCTTTACAAGTGTATATGTGAGCCATGGATATGATGGACAAATTGGTGTACATGGCCATGGCCATGTACATAATTCATTTTGCCCTTTTTGTAGTTGCACCAATCATCCTCTTAAATGTTATCAAGAGAAATTCAATTACACCTCTATTGCTTAGCATACTATAGCAATCCAACCCTTGCCCACAATTTTATTGTTTCTATCTCTCTAGAAGACTATGACCAACTACATGAATAATAGACACTTCTCTTTACCTCTTATGTTGTTTCTTCCTCTTGATTTTTTATTGTTGTTTTCTCTATTTGTACACCATAGATTTTAAATTTGGTTGTTTCTTCTCATATGACGAGTGATCTCCAATCATTTAAATCTCTTCAAATGTCATGTTTTCTGATGGTTCTATCTTTCTATATATTTTTCATTATTTTAAATTTCTTTCTCCTTTAGATGCTCTATATGCACCATATTTTCTTGTCAACCTTTTGTCTATCCATTTTCTTACAAAAAATCATAGCTTTTTTGTAATTCTTCTCATTGTGTTTTTTTTTGGTACTTAAGCTTGAGAACAATGATTGATGGAGGTATTGAATTTGATGGAGTCTACTACTTATTGAGTGATGCCCCTTTCACCCTTGCACTATTATTTTATATCAATGGCATTTTCAGTTAGGCTATTCTCCTCTCAACAAAATTCAGGATTGTTTATCGATCTCCTCATCTCCTTCCATGTATATTTTTCCTACTAGTGAGATGCGTAAACACCATCGTGTTCTTTCCTTCTTCTATCAATAACCTTCAAAGTCTACCTTTTGGGTTAGCTCACTTCAATATTCTGGGCCTTACTTTTTGTTCTTATTCAATCATGATTCTGTCATTTTTGTCATATACATTGATGATTGTTCTATTTTAACTTGGTATACTTGTGCAATTATCAATTTGCAGACCTTCATAATTTTCTAACTTTTTATCAGGAAATAAAAATTATGTAAACACCACTATTTACTTAGATATTGTCAGGATTTTAATATTTCATTTGAATATTCCTTGTCAGTTCTAGCTGATGTAGTCTTGATACACTACTATCTAATCAATAATGTTCCCTCTCCTCTATTTGCTAATTTTCTCTTGATCTCTTTTCTTTATTCCAAGCAGCTTATATTCCCCTTACATTGGAGATATTTGGGTGTTTTTTTTTTGCTTTGTTCATGCTTTTCAGTGACATAGTAAACTCTCCACTTGTGTCATTCAATGTATTCTTCTTAAGTATTTCCGCATTAAGACTTCTGCTGATGTTACTTTTCATGAGACCTTATTGTTCCTATATGTTCTTTTCTTACCCTTCCCCTAAGGTAGCTTTACCATCTATTTCTTTTCCTCTAAAAGCTGCTATACCTTCTATTACTTACCTCTACCACTCTACAGGTTTACTCTCAACAACCTAAACCATTTTCTACAACACCTTCCAAAATGTCAGATATTGCTGAGCATCCACCCATTGATGAGTTTTCTGATCTTCGTTTATCACTTTTCTTATGAAAAGGTAAATGATAGCCTATTGTTCATCTCATTCACTATTATATGTTTGATCATTTATCATTATCTTTTCATACATTTTTCTTTTCCTTATTATTTGCTCCATTTCCTACTCAGGATAATAAATGTTATAAAATCCTGTATGGGAATGGCTTCAGATGTTGGGATGAATGCTTTACTCAGTTGTTATACACGGGATGGCTGTTCACTATCAAGTTCTTCCTAATGGCTCGTTCAAATGGTATGAAGTTGATTGGTTGCTAAAGGGTTCACATTGATTTATAGGATAGACTATTTGAACCCCTTGTCCATGTTTGTCAGGCTTAACTTTCTCCAAAATCACCTATTGGTGACCATCAATGAAAGGATGGATTGTATTGCAAGTGGATATGAGTATTTTATGATGACATTAAATATCTAGTTTATGTGTAGCAACCATTTTACTATATTTATTAGTGAATAACCACATATATTTACTCAAGATGGCCATACATGGACTTAAACTAATCTGATGGGCTTAGTTTGAAAAAAATTGTGAAATTCTTATCGTGATTGGCCTTCATAGTAGCGTTGAAGATCATTTCTTCTTCGTCATGCATGCACCATTCAGCTTGGTCGTATTGATTGTTTATATTGATGTCATATTACATCATTGGAGTGATCAAAAAGGCATTTTTTGATGTTAGATACTATCTACAAATGTATTTTGTGACTGAAGTTCTTAAATGGGCAAAATATTTTCTTGAAGTGATGTGCCTACAACAAAAATGAACTTTCTCTTTCTTAGAGAATATTTTACTAATCTTTATTGAAGAGATTGGATTTCTTGGTTGCAAAGCAGTTGATGCCCATATGGATGCTCAAACCTCATGATAATGAGGAACCCTTTGTTGATTTGTCCTGGCAGTTTGATTTATCATATTTTCACTAGGCTTGACATTTATTTCATTGGAGTTGTAAACCAACATATGCGAACACCAAAACAGAAGCATTAGGAAGCTATTATGCCCATTCTCTGATATATTATAAAGTCTTCTAAAAAAAGGTGCTTTGCATTAAAAACGGAACATCTGAATGTGAAAGCATTATGCTAGCTCGATTCTAAGGCAAAGTCAATCTCAAGATGCTGCATTTTTGTTGTAGAGAATTGGCCACTTAGAAAAGTAAGAAACAAATTGTTGTGACCAGACCTAATACTGAGGTTGAATACAAAGTTATAACTCATTCATCTTATGAAATGACATGGGTAAAAACTCTTTTAGGAGAGTTTAATTTTTCTGTCTCACTACTTATGTTTTGTACTGTCACGACTCGGCCCAGTGAGCCCGTATAGACTAGGAGGGAATGGATGTCAGACTTAAATGATAGAACATAGCATTTCAATATCAGAGAAACATAAAATATAAATCTAAAACTTCTCAAGTGATAATTTAGCACCTCTAAAAATAACAACTTCTTATCTTAATAAAACATTTCATATAAAGTCAAAGATGCACAAAGGTGGACAAAATTTTTCTTTCATGTTAACATCCACCCACAAAATCATTTCACAACTACAAAAATATACAAAAGGAACTTGTCATCTGGTCCTCTACGACTATTTGTAAATCAGGGTCGTTCAGCTATTCACTTAGCATCAGAGTCTCCTGAAAATATCACAAAACTAGGGAATAAGCTAACGCTCGGCAAATAACAATTACATCTAAAATTCATGTGCAATATAGAGGAAAACAATGTGCAAAGTTGGTAACGTATTTACATGCAAAAATTGTCCAGTAATTAACTCTTTCCTATATGTTATATACTTCTATGTATCAATGTCATATGCTCCTTCCTATACATCATATGCTTACCACATTTATTTATTACATAATGTCTATTATATCACATGTTCATATACCTCTAGTTTATGCATATATTATATATCCATATCAGAGTACCCATATTGTACTGATCGGGTATAATCTCATAATAGACCATTCATCATTATTTTGCCCCGAAGAGTCATATTGTCCCGAAAATCCATATTGTGCAAGTGCACCGTATTTGGTACTCCACCTCAACAGGCACAAACTTGCATTTTGATCTCATAACATAAGATGATGCAACAATATCAAACATACATATGATGAATTTGATTTAAGCATGAAAGTGAACTTTAACGTATGAAGAGCTCTCTATCTAAAATATAATGTACTATGTGAACTTTTGTATAAAAATTTTCTATCTAATATGCCAAGTACAATATGACATAGTGCAATGTAACATGAACATAGTAAAGTGCAATGTAACATGATATACTTAAAAGAAAAATATGAAATTTAAAATGTAATGTCACTTACTTTAAGCTCTTCGCTAAACTTCTTGAACCGATATTGTCTTAGGTTTAACCTAAAGAACACAAACACTAAAATTAATTATACATGCCAATTCTCTTATTAAAAGTTCTCATTACATAATTAAATTATCTAAATCTCCCTTCCTATTTGATCTTATCCTTCCTATTTGTTTTACCAAAGAATTTAATGAACTTAAATATAAATTTTTTGGATTTTATTAAAATTTATATTTTAATAACCCAAATTTTCATATTTCCTTCTAATTATAATTTATATCACTTTCCCTAACATATATTATCATTAAACCTAATTATTTTCGGATTAAATAAATGTAGAATTTAGGGAAAATATTTTTTTTCTCAAAATGTCTTTTTCTCTTAATTAGAGCCCTCCCATGATTCCTATAAACAATATACATTATCAACCTAGCTCAAAATCTAAAAATTTGAAATAGCCCTAATTTTTAAATCACAAAAACTTTAGGGAAAATCAAATTTTTTTGATTAAACATGCTTCTAAACCCCTTCATAACAACATTCCTAAAACATTTTTTTTTAAATTTTCATGAAACCCTAATTTGGAACCCTAAAGTTTTCCTCGAGCAAAAGTTCATTTTCATGGGTTAGAATCATGCTCAAATAAACTCCCTATCATTCTTCTATGAAAATCCCAACATTTGAGCAAACCCTAAATTTTAGAAACCTCAAATTTACTTAAAAACTCAAAATTTGGGTTTTACAATTATCATAAAGTCTTCCTACACACTTCCCTTTATCAAATTTCATGATTTATAAAAATCCTAACTTTTTAATCATGAAAAATGTTGGAGAAAAAGAAAGATTTCTAGGTTTAGAGCTTACCTTTCCTCTTCCTTAAGATTTATCTTTGATTTCCCCCTAAAACCATCTCTGAAAAGCCGCCAACCACCAATTTCGTGGAGCTCCCGTCGCCCCTTCCTCTTTTCTCTCGCGTGTGGCCGAACGAAGGAGCCAAGGGACCGAATGGTTCGGTCCCTTAGGCAGATGGGGTTTTAGGGAAAATAGTTAAGTGCCAATTTATGCATGTACCCTTTCCCCTAAGAATTTCCTTAAGGCTCATGAGGGTAGTTTGGACAAAAAGGCTACTTTAACTATCTGACGATTTTTAGTTTTAAAATCGTGCGAAATTATGTATATGTTTTTTTATACTGTTTTGATCGAAATTTTGAATAGAATTTAATAAAATTATTTGCGTCAATTTCCGACGACTTCGAAATTTCTGCTAACTCCGTCGTGGCCCATCGAAATGCGTGCGACACATCCGATCGATTGTTTTCGGGTTTTACATGTACGATGATAATTGTGTTGCTATCTAATTGCTAGCAACCTTGTTTTTCATGACAGAACCAAGCATATTGAGTTTGATTGTCATTCATCTGGCCATTTCGTTTTTTAATCATATCCTATGGTTGAACATCTCTTGGTGTTAGGCATCAACCTATGCCCATACCATTCGTTTTCCTTTTGATTAAGCTATTTCTACTTGGAATCGTTCTGCAGTATGGGAATTTAGCTAAAGATTAGCAATACATGCTAAGAGTCAGAGCAGATTTAAGACGAGCAATCACATAATTTTATGACAAAATTTTCTTGAGAAACATGCACATGTGCATAATAATTCAACAAAAAATAGCCAATGCACCACATATATTTTGATTAAATGGTTGATGAAACAATGAGTGCATGCTCGTATGCTTCTCTAATAATGTATTTTTCTTGAGTACATAATTATTTCTTATGATATAATAATTTTTTTTAGATAAGTTAAAAAAATACAAATCTTTCTAGTTTAGATTTGTGGTTTTTTTTCTTTAGTACATAATTATGAATAAACATTCAAATCTATTAAAAAAATGTAGTATCTGGTGATTTCAGCTGCATTTGTAAATTTTTTATATGGATCTCCCAGTTATACGAAGCAATATCTGTTGTGTCTGTGCACGTGGATGGAAGCTTATAGTGGCTTCCTTTTTTAATCATACGAATGTGATGTCCATCTAGTCGAGTGATTTGACTAACCAATGAATGGTGAGTCTGGTGACAACTAATTATAGCAATGTGAGGCAGGCGGATGTCACGCATACTGCTGATGAATTTTTTTCTTCATTTTATTGTCTTGAAAAAAATTTCGTTCCTTCTTTTAGCTTGATTGTTTAGGTCTAGGAAAATTTTTACCACCGGTATTGTGTCTAAGTGATTGATTTGTTTCCCATTGTTTTCTTCCGTTACTTTTTTTTCTTCATTATGTTTTTTCTAATTTCAGAAGAGCAAAGTTTATTTTTTTGAAATGTTTTTCAGCTCGGAGTGTTTGTTGAATAAATTGAACAATGCTATGTATCATCATAATCAATATTAGGTTTCTGAATGCTGTTCTGTAGCAGAAGTTTAATTAATAGTTTTTTTTTTGGGTTAAAATGTATCACAATGTTTGCAAACCAGGTTAATTATTTACTCTAGATTTTCATTACGAGCATATGAGAACCGTCCAGTTTTGTTTCTTTTGCTGGTTAATTACACCACAGGGACAATGCCATTTTATGTTCCTCGGTAATTTTGCAGGTATACATCAATGGATTATGATGAAAATGATTTTCGAAGCCAGAACTTTCAGTTAGTTGGAGAAGATAAATTTTCTGTGAACTTGCGGTCGTTTCCTCTTCCAAGGTTTGATCTTGATGAACACCTTAGGTTTGATAGCTTAGTTGAAGAGGAAGTTTTACTTGGCATACAAGGGCAAGAAAATAATTGGATTGATTTTCCACCTGGGAGTAGTGCCTTAGAGTTCAGTTCAAGTGCTGCCGAGTCTTGCTCAATAGCTAGACATAACAATGTTTGGTCTGAGGCAACATCATCTGAATCTGTTGATTTGTTATTGAAATCTGTGGGAGAGGATGAAATGATCAACGGCAAAGCTGTCATCATGGACGTGAGTGCTAATGATGAATCTAATGGCATTGATAATCGGGTGGATCTCTATGTAGAGAAGTGTGATGCCCATGAATCATCCATTATGGATATCCTACCTGTTGATCCAGAATTGACACAAGATAAGCATCTGAAAAAATTTTCGCCTTCAAATGAAGTTCAATGGGAGTTGTTGCCTGATGTTCAAGGTTCATCTCAAGCAGCTGAAGGGGAGGAATCCGGAATCGCCATGTACGAAGATCCTTCAAACAAAAACTTAAGTCCTGATGGAAAGATTGATGTTGGTCCGTACACAATGATAGACAATTTAAGTTGTTTCTATAATCCTATTCAAAAATCAAAAGCGGATGAAAAGGGTTTATGTGGGACAGTTCCATATGAAAAAGATGTTTGTGAGGTGCTTTTGAAGACAGAAGTTCCACATAGTGATGACTCTGACTCATGTGCGGTGGATAGCCAGAGTTTGGCTTCTAATCAAGATGTAAAACTTGATATAGAAGCTGAGAAGTTGAACACTGGGTTGTTCTACGTTGGGCAAGATCAGAGAAATACCAGCAATAGTTCCGGTTTCCTATGTGATGATGTACATAGAGACAAATCTTTGGTAACGTATAGCGAGGACAAAACAAACCAGAAGTTCGCGTCCAAATCAGATGCTTTGGAGCTGCCGAATACAAAATGCATTAATTCAGTATTTGCTGTGAACTCTGATGGGTTAGTGGTGTCTGTTCCATGCCCAACAAAATCTTTGAATGATAATGGTGAGGCAAGCCGGAAATCATTTGCCAATGAAGAGTGTAAGAGCCTATTAGCAATGGAACAAGAAGATAGAACTGGACATAATTCTGTTACCCTAAAGACTAAGACTGAGTTAACAGAAGGATCTAGAAGTATTGGTGACGGCCTGCTGTATGATTCCTTGGAAGATGATGATGGCCACAGTATAAGAACTCAGTTAATGAAGAACTCAACAGTGTCTTGTGATGACAGAGGAGGAAAACTTGAGACTTTCACGAATGCCATTGATAATAATCAAGATCCTGAATGCGAGCTGGTGGAAAACAAAATTGATGAAATTGCAATTGCTACCCAATCGCTAATAAAATTGCCTGCTTCTATTCATGTTAATCATGAAACTCAAGGAACAGAAATTGATGATTGTGAAAGGATGAGAACTAATTCTTTGAGTTTTACCTTTGAGAAGCCTGGACTGGTTCTTGAGGGAAACTATGATAAAATTATGGATGTTGAGAGGCAAGAGTTGAAATTAGATAAAAATAATGATGTAGCCCCTTCTGAATCTTCTCTACCTGTTGCTATGACTGATGAATCTTGTCTGTCTGTCACAATGACTGTTACAGAATCTAGTATCTCACCTTCTACACTCTGCAAATCAAGTGTGCAGAAGGAAACCATATCAGTTACTGATTTGAGGGAAGTTCATACTGAACAAGTTCATGCTTCAGTTAACAAGGAGTCCTCAATGACATACATCAGTCCTAGTAGAATTAATTTAGACCCACTCTCTAATGTTATGGACAAGGCTCAAGACTTGCATCCTGCAATTCAGGACATGGCTGAAGAGTTGTCTTTGGATGGCTCTGCAAATAAATTTCTTGAAGAAGATTTAGGTAAACTTCCAACATAGAATTGTTCTATTAGTTTTAAATAAGGAAATGTTCAGGGAAATGGAGTTGATGCTAATTTTATTTTTCTTCCATATTTGGTTCAGTTCTCTTCGGGTTTTGAGAAATCTAGTTCTCTTCAATTGTCAACTCCAGAGTGTACTACTAATGTTGATTTGGCTGCAGGAAAGAAAGAAACGTCGATACAATTATCTGCATCAAATATCATCCACTTTGATAGTAATGATGCGAAGATATCCGGACTTACAGCTTCACCACTTTCAACTACTGATTTGATTGAAGAAAAAGAAAGCGATTTAGTTTCAGTTTCTTATCCATTAAACATGAAAGAAGTATCCCTTGGAAAAATTTCTAGAGGTGATTCAGGTGATATTAGCTGCTATGGTTACTGTTTATTTTGTTCAACTGCCCTAATGCTCTTTAGGAAAGCCGTCATTTGGATGACATATCTGATGTTTCTGTGTTTCCTTGCTTTTGCTTTTTTTAAGTAGGTGCTCAGTTGGCTTCTCCGGTCAAATCACTAGATTCTCAGCCATCAAAAGGTACTGTTGGCCTGAATTTAGCCTCAGAACAGAAAGGACCATCACCGTGTTTAACCATACCAAATTCAGTTGATTCTGAAAAAAGTGAAATGAAGCTTTCTGGAGGTTCTATTTCATCCAAGTCTATAAGAAATGTAGATAAGGAAGGATGGGCAATTTCAGGTTCTGATCGTGAAGATACGTCAACAGAGCACCTTCCAAATGCTGTAGTGCAACCTCCATCTCTTGTGCAAACTACTGATTGTGCTATGCCACAGAATCATATTCCATCTTCAGCAGGGAATGATGTTGGAAGTGAGAAAACTCTGCTGCTGGAGGGGAATGGCGTTAGTCAAGGCCCTTCTCAGGATGGAAAGGAGGATATCACTAATTCATTAGAAGTTGTTTCCCATTTTGGGACTGAAGTGTCGGTTTCTTTAGGTAACTTTCATGGCAATTTTTTATTGGTATTTTATGTGCAATGCCAGTTTCTTGTTTTGGAGATGTCGGCAGTTACTTGGTAAACTAGCAAAATTTTAAACGGTCTGATTGTTTCCTTTAGTTTTGCTTATTTATTAGCACAAACTACTTATGGAAGACAAGCAGTGCACATGCCTCCATCCATATACAAAGATGGCTCTTGTAAAAGTCCAAGCAATGATCAAAGTGATCAATATAAATTATCCAAAATAGATGTCTCTGATGAGCAGGATGTGTCTCCTCAAACAGAGGATAGGCTGTTTCTCTGCATACCGGTTTTATTGTTTGCTTCTGATGTATGCACACACATGTTTGCTTTATACTTGTGGGTTTGTTCCTTGTCTTTAATGTTTCTCTGAAGTTTAAACACTTAGAACATAATTTTCTTGTCAACTTTCACCGGCTCCGGTAACTGACAAACTTTCTGCTTTCCTCCAAAACTTTGATTGCGGTTCAAGTAAGATTTTTTTAATTCAGTGAACAATTTATCGAAGCATTAGCAACTGCTTTAATATTTTTCTTGAACCCTTAAAATATTGCTATTATGTCTTCATGAATATATACTACCAGTATTGTAGATTCAATTTGTTTGTGAGGAAGTTATGTTCTTCAAATAAGATGGCCAACCATTTGTACAAATTAATGTTGTTTTGTACAATTGAGTAATGTCCAAATATATATGGGGACATAAACTGTGCCAAAATGCAATTTCTAACGTGCTGAAATGTCCTCTGTGCTGCTTACTTGGCATGCCAATTATATTTATAGTATAAATTCTGCAATGAGACACTGTATAATTTTTTTTTTTTTTTAGCAATAAGTACCATATCTATCTTTCCCATCTTCTATTTAGCAGTTAATTTATGAAGTTTGTATATAGTTGTAGATAATTTGTTGAACGCTTACATGACTAATTGTTCTCAAATATGCACTGGAAGCTCTGCTGAATTGAACTCATTGGAAACACAAATTGGCAAATCAAGTTATTTTGAACGGAACTGTGTTTCACCAATATTCATCATTTGCACAGGATGTCATGAAGACGATTTAGAGCATCAAGAACCGAAAACCTCAGGCAACATGGATTTAGTATCTTCTGAAAAAGATGAAATCACTCTTAAGGCTGATTGCAGCAGTAATGGCTTACATGGTACATCTATTGAAGCTAGAAGTTTAATTCTTGAGGTTTCTACATCCAAGGATTTGGCTGGAAGGGTTGTTGGCAGTGAACCATCTTTTCTCAACCTGAAGGGGAATGATATTACTCAGGCAACTTACTTTTTAAGTTCCATTGTGGTTAGATTCTTTTTTATGATGAAATTTTAACTAATATATATATGTATGTTTTAAAATTTTTAGATGCCAAATGTGGATTCTCAAGGACTTCCTGAAGAAGTTAAAATGGCTGACATTTCGATGAAAACTCCTAATCATGGAAAATCTAAGAATGCATCCAGGCCTTCTAATGAGAAGAAAATAGTCTCAAAAGGGAAAACCAAAAAAGAACCACATACTCTGAAGCAATCTTCTGTGATGGATCTCAAAAGTTCCACTTCCACCCGTAAATCTGTTGGAACTTTAAGCAAGGACGTTCCTTTGGTTGAGATGCGGGAGCATTCCTCTATTGAGTGTAGTACTGTGAAGACATCATCTTCTGTGGCTTTTCAGACATCTATTATTCCTGATTTGAATTCATCTTCATCCTTATCATTATTTCACCAGCCATTTACTGATCTACAACAAGTACAATTGCGTGCACAAATCTTTGTTTATGGAGCTTTAATGTATGTTGAATGTTTCTAATGTCCTTCAGTGTTTCTAAACTTAATACAACACTCAATACAGATCTTCCCTTTTGTCGCAGCTCAGGTATGCCTCCAGATGAAGCTTATATGGTATCTGCCTTCGGAGGTGCAGGTTGCTATCTACACCATTTCCTTTTACTCTGATTTTGTTTTTATATACATCTTGTTATAGACACTGGTTCACATTGTTGATTTGTGCTGGACAGATGGTGGGCGGAGCTTATGGGAGGGTGTATGGCATGCATGGATTGTAAGGTTTCAGAGTAAAAAATCCCCTGTTGGTGCTTATGATACTCCTACACACTCTCGGCCAGGTATATATTTGGAGCAAACTATGGCAGCATTTTTTTATGTCTCATGTTTTTACATTGATTTGTTTCCGGAAATATTTTGTTCATAGCAATATGGATTCCTGAACAAGTTTCAATGGGCAATGATGTTCAAAGCAAAGTCTCAAGCACTTCTTCCACAAGCGACAGCAGTATCATGTCCTCGGCTGTGCGAAATTCCACAATGCCTTTGCCTTCACCTTTATGGAGTCACTCTTATGGAAATGATGGACACCATGCCAATATATCAAGAGGCACTTACCTAAACTTTAGTCATACTCCATCCCCATTGCCTCATCAATCTTCCGTATCACGACAGCATGTGGGTGCTAATTCACCTTGGCTATCACAGTCACCTCGCCCTGGACCGTGGTTTGTTTCATCTCAGATTTCAGCACTTGATGGCATCTCACGGTATTCCACAGTATCTGTTCCTGAAACTGTTCATGTAACCCCTGTAAGGGATTCAAGTGGGCCTCATACTCCCATTGTAGAGATTATTCCCCCTAGTGTTTTGATGTCTGTTCCAGATACCGCACTCGCAACTACTATTGCGGATTTACCTGTGGAAACATCAAAAAAGGCAGTAACTAGTGAGAACAATAAACATACACCGACCACTCAAAAGGCTAGAAAGAGGAAGAAGGGCGTTGCAGCAGAGGAGACAAGCTTTCCAGCTTCTCAAACTTCAGCTGGGCCTGTTTCTGCTATCAGTGATGTTAGAAGTCTTCCACTGCATTCTGCAAACATGCTTCTATCTTCTAACTCACAATTAAATGTTGCTAGTCCTGCTCCTGTTTTGATAAGCACACCTCACATCATTTCTCCAACACATTACCAGATAATTGGTGCTAATAATAATCTACAGAAGGCAATCTTGTCTGAAGAGACTTGCACTAAAATTGAGCAGGCTAAGCATCAAGCAGAAGATGCTGCTGCTCTTGCTGCTTCTACTGTTAAGAATAGTCAAGACATATGGAGTCAGCTAGCTTCCTTGAAGAATTCTGGTTTAGTTTCACAGATTGAGGAAAAACTTGCTTCTGCAGCTGTTGTCGCTGCTGCGGCTTCTTCTGTTGCCAAGGCTGCTGCAGCTGCTGCTAATGTTGCAGTTGGTGCTGCTTTGCAGGCAAAAATAATGGCAGATGAAGCTGTTAGTGTGGCAAAAACAGGTAACACTGTTTTGAATTCAGAATCTGGCATTCTTGATGTTGGAAAGAAATTAATAGGAGTACCTCCTGTTTCAATTATGAAAGGAATGGACAAGATTCATGGATCTGGTGCAATTATTTCTGCTTCTAGTGAGGCTGCCAGAAGACGGGTTGAATTGGTTTCTGCTGCCACCAAAAGGGCAGAGAACTTGGATGCCATCGTGAAAGCTGCAGAATTGGCAGCAGAAGCTGTTGCACAAGCAGGAACGATCATTACGATGGGGGATCCCTTACCATTTTCGTTGAGCCAGTTGGTAGATGCTGGCCCTGAGGGTTTTTGGAGAGGACATGATGGTTCATCCACAAAGCTTTCCAAATCAAGATGCATGCATGAAGGGGAGCATTCAGGCTCAAGTAGTGCTAAAGAGCATGGTGGATCAGCTAAGCAATTGGATGGTCAGTTCTCAAAAATTAAAGAAGCGCAGAAGGCTACTGATGAAAGTGGTTTATCCTCTTTGAATGAATATCATGAGCAGTTTGAACGAAGAGTCCAAGGTATGCAGTTTTTTACTGTACGGAGAGTGTTTTGCTAGGATGAGAGTTTCCTTTCTTTTTAATTCCATACGATTTTTACTAAATTCTGCTTGTAGCTGGCATTTTAGACCTCCAAACTAGCTTTTGCAGAATGAAGCTTTTGCAGGATGAATTCTACGTCTTGAGGCTTTTCGTGCCACTTAAAATATAGTCTCAAATGATTGCTTTTGAAAAATGGTTTAAAGTAGCCATGTTAGCTTTTCTTTTGCAGTTTTATTGCTAAAAAGTATTCAATAGCCTCTACATAGCCACTGTAGCATTTGCTGTTCCAAACAATCCTATTCTGGAATGTGCAACCGTGAAGACATTGAAATACGAGCTATGAATTCGTTGGCTTGGTATAAAATTTACATGTTTATGTGTATCACCGTGCAGGAAATTTCCCTACTGCTGGACAAGAAAGAGATCCTCCTGTTTTAAGCATACAAAAGGGGTCTGTTGTTGAGGTAGGCTGTTCAGCATTTTTTTTCTGCCCAAATCTAGCCTTTTTTTTATTATGTACCCTTATCTTTATGAATTTTTGGATTGATTATAAGGTTTTTTTTTATTTGTTTACCATTAAAAGGTTGTGGATTCATTAAAATTATTGTTATAGAACTCTCATCTTATGACGCCTACTAATATGCCACTTTGTAAAAAAATTTAACCTTGTATGAATTAATTCACTTCAGTTTTTAATTTTTAACTACGGAGAAAACTCTAATATACTACTAATTTCATGTTCTTTCTGACACATGAATCCACTCCATTTGTTCATTCAAATGATGGAATCACTCACACTTCATCATCCTAGGGTTGCCTGTGTAGTTACTTTTTTAGTCTAAATTTTTTTGGAGAAAATTTTATTTATTTTGGTGCTATGTTATTATGATTACAACAACAAACAACAACAACATCAAGCCTTTATCCCACTACGTGGGGTCGGCTACATGAATCCTTTTTCTCCATTGTGTTCTATTAAAAGTCAAATTCTCATTTAAACCTAATAAAGAAAGGTCATTCCTAATATTTTCTAACCAAGTCTTTTTAGGTCTACCCCTACCTTTCTTAACATAAGTCAAATCTAATACCTCTACTCTCCTAACCGGGTCATCGAAAGGCCGTCGTTTATAATTATGATTGATGAATTTAATTTTTTCCAGGATTCATAGAATACTAATTCACTTTTTATAAATATTTTTTTTTATATTGTGTTTTTAATGACAAAATTCTAACCTACAGAACATAATGACTATTTCTCTCCACAGAGAACGTAAAAAAACAATTCTACTTTTTGCAGTTAAAGGAATATAAGGATTTTTGTAAAAGATTTAATAGAATTTTCTTTTTAAATTAATTGAATATTACCTTAAGGGCTCGCTTGGATGCTTAAGGATAAAAATTATATATTTCAGAAGGTGATGATTTTTTTTTGGTTTATTATATATTTTAAATTGAAAGAGGCTTTAAGTGCTTTGTAAAGTTTCAAGCATTTGTTGATTTCTATGTCACTCAACCAAATAATAAATTTAAATTTTTTTTTTTTTTTGAAAGCTGTTTTCTAACTTCAAGCAGGCAAAAGAGGCCTTATATTAACACCAACTTATTAGAGTGATAAGTAAAAGTTAATAGAATCAGTTGGTATACCAATAATATTGAATAATTCGACGATATTATGGCAAATGTAAATACTTATGGTGATATATTCGTAAACTATCTTAAAATGAAATATCTTCATTAATGAGAGCCATCTTCGAGTAGCAATGAAGTTGCCTCTATTGAAATATGGAGGTCTGAGGTTCAACTCATGGAAATAGTCCTCTGCAAATACGATTACAAGTTTTCTTGCATTTATCGCTTTCTGGACCCATAATTGGTGGAAGCTCCATGCATTGAGCATTCTGATGTCTTCATTAACAATTTTATTCTTTATTTTATATCTGATTATGACTATCCTGGTTTCTCTCAATTTCTCATCATAAACATCAAGGAATGCATGCTTTCTTAGCTAGACCTTGTAGTGATGATTTCTTTGAATTTCAGCATGATCAATTCAAACAGCTTCATTAAATTCTACAGGTTATGTCTGATGAAGATGGTCGGAGAGGGGCCTGGTTTTCAGCTCAGGTACTTGACATAAGTGATAACAAGGCGTTTGTTAGCTACAATGACGTTTCAACTACTGAAGGTAATCTTCAATCTTTATGTTTCTTTCAATTGATGAACTTTTATCAAATCATGTTAGAATATTTTTGTTAGGGTAGATGAAGTTCTCTATATGAAAGCTGGAATGGAATGTACTTTAGATGTAAACTAAATTTTAACCCATATTTGGAGGCATTTATATTGTGGATTTTGTGCAATAATCTATGTGCTTTATTTAAGAAATGGCCATAACTAAATGCAATACACATAAGTGATGTGTTTGTTAAAGCTAAGTTAAGGCTAAAAGTAGCCAATCCACTCTTGCATAGGATATCATTATTATTGCTATTATTATTTTTGGCTACATTCTTGTGCGTACTGTACATTCTCTTAATTTCATTGTTATAAGATAAACGGCACTTCAATTTTTGTGCAATTTATGCTTTATGTTACAACCTTCTGGCTAGCATGTTTAGTTAAGCTACGCCTTTCTAAGCTGACCCTGTATTTTCTATATTTTGAGCGTTACTCTCCTCTGATATCAACTAATTCACCAAGCTCAAACTTTCTGTCGATATTATCTCAAGTTAGTGAAAATTTTCTTCTATCTCATAGCTTTCAAGCATATTTTTTTTATTTTAGCTGTATGGTTCCAATGCTATTGAGCATGTCATGTCAAGCTTAACAAACCTCACTCTTCCTGAATTTATTGGTTATGTTGGTGCAGGCCAGCTAAAAGAATGGATTGTGCTTGAAGAGGGAGAGAAAGCTCCTAGAATACGGACAGCTCACTCCACAACATTAGTGAAGTATGAAGGCACTAGGAAACGGCGTAGAGAACATCTAGGAAGCTATATCTGGGAAGTTGGAGATCATGTTGATGCTTGGATACATGACAGGTAAGGATGCTTTGATTTATTTATAGATTTTCTTGTAAAATGCCGAGCATCTTGATACAAAAGCTGAGTTAGGTAAGCAAAACTACTACAGAGTTCTCTTTTTACTGATATTACTTTATAATTAGGTGTTAGCCAGCTTTGTTTGCATTCTGCAACTACTATTGCCTTCGTGTTTTGATTTGCTTTGGTGCTATCTTCAAAGCTCTTCGCAGTGGCGCACGTCTTCTAGCCTTTCCATTCTTTTTCATCACAAGCTTTTCAAATGCCTTTTTTTCTGCATGTTTTTTTTTTTCACATAAATTTTAATTTCAAATTTGCTCTTTATATTTATGATGGAGAATAGTGTATTTATACTCATCGAATAATTAAATGATCAATTTAAGTTAAATTAGTTCTATTTTTTATTTTATTTGATAGTTTTAAAATTCATTTGATTCCTGACTTGCCTGTGATTTATAAGAATGTGATTTGTTCTCTATAGTTATGACATTCTTGGTTTAGTTAACCTTGGCTTGGTTGGATCCAAGTGATTGGATTAGGATTGCTATTAATTCTATTGTGGATAGCCGGTTCAATCATATGGTTTAATTGCTATTGGAGTTTACACTGTCGGAGTTATTTGATTTCTGTAGCAATGTAAGGTCTTCGTGTTGTGTTGTTACTTAGTTTCAGCAGCATAAGTGCGTTATATTACATCTTATCTTCTGCTTTTGTTGTTTGTTTGGTCCTAGAATTGATTCCTGTTGCGATCTTTCTTGGGATTTATAGCCAACGGTTTTGTGACCTATATGCGGCTCCTTACAGGAGTTCCTAGTTATTGCGTGCGATTATGATGCTGAGATATATGCATGTTTATGGATTTTCAATCAAACATAACTTTTTGAGGTTATCGACTGAGGAAATTTCATGAATAGACAAGTTAAATCTAAGGCTTTTATTGGACGATTTTTTATTAAGAAAATTTAGATTTTTATTATTAAAATATAGTGTAATTGTATGTGGGATTTCTTGAAGTGTTGTGTAAGCAACTCAAAGGAGAATATATTTCCTTGGACCACCGTGAGAACTAAATTGTTTATAATTTAATGATCTCTTTTCTTAAATCTCTTCTAAATATTTTTTTTAATGACATTGCATGTGATTCTAATTTTGATCAATGACAGTAACAAAAATTGGATTCATGTCGCCTTAGATGGTTTTGGCCATATAAAACGGTAATGACAGTAATTGATCAAAATGAGTATTTACGTGAAAAGGTTGGAGTATCTCCAGTGAAAGATAAGATTAGAGAGATTCGTCTTAGATGGTTTTGTACACATAAAACAACGATCTTTCGATGACCCAGTTAGGAAAGTTGATGTATTAGTTTTGACTTATGTTAAGAAAGGTAGATGTAGGCCTAAAAAGACTTGGTTAGATAATGTTAAAAATGACCTTTGCTTATTAGATTTAAATGAAAATTTAACTTTTAATATAACACAATGGAGAAAAATGATTCATGTAGCCGACTCCACAGTGAGATAAAAGCTTGATGTTGTTGTTGTTATTGTTACAGTAACAAAAATTCAATTATTTGTTTATTTTTATTGATTCTATTTTCTCATTTATTTTTTGAGTTTTATTGTTATATATATATATATATATATATATTAATCTACATTCATTGTATCATTCTAGTCGTGCATTAGAAACCCTAGATGCTAAGATGGCTTGAATTAAATCAGAATTAGAGTTTGTGCCATCATGTCAACTAAATGGTCATTTAAAAATAACAAAAGATGTAATTTAATTGAAATCATTCAAGTTATGGTTATAGAAAACTACAATGTGATTAACATATGTTCAGAATTATGTTCTACCTTTGATGGGAGATATGATTGTTGAAATTTTTCACATTGAGTATTTTTTTGAAAATATAATCTATTTGATTCCCAAAGAGTTGAATGTGATAAATCAAAACTATTGGTACATGCTTTATCAACTCAGCAAAGTGTCGTTACCAAGTTCTAATGAGTTGATATGAAATATAGACTTAACAAAATATGCTTATCATTTGGCGAATATAGTGCTGAAGTGTATTATCAATTTTAGGAAAAGATAAATAGAATTTGTTTTAATATTTTTCAAGATTTATGAGTCTGTTAGCAATGGTATTTACCTTTGGATTATTATATTATTATATTTATTTTATTAAAGGTATTAAATGAGCAATTAAGAATAAATTTAATTTAAATTTTCCCAAATTATTGTATGAAGCTTTATAGATATCAATATCCATTATTCTCTTTGGACTATTGCACATGTAATTAATATCTCTAAAAAAAATCAATAAATCTCCTCTAAAGCTCATCATGCATCATACATAACAAAAGAGTCATGTATGGTTGAATCTTATTTAATTAAAGAGATTGTAGTTTGTAAATACTCTTTTGGGGATGTTTCTAATGCAAAAAATGGATTCTACATATGATGTTTTTGAATTTGAATATTCAACTACATTCAATCATGTTTATGAACATGAATCTATTCTTGATCAATAGTCATAATTGGAGTTCAAAAGCATACTTAAGCATTAGATGATATTTGAACCCAAACTTATTATAGAAACTAAGTTTATTTCTTAGCATGAAACTAAACCAAATATACATACTATAGTTGGCTAACTAATCAAGTAATTTGATAGCACAACTTTTAATGACTTATTAATGAAATTATCCCTATGGTCATTGATCAATCTGATATTAATTTAAATTTTTGTTCTTGCTATCTTTATATGCCCATTCATAAAAAATCTTATAGAGAAAATTATGTTGTATTAAAATTTCTAGAAAATTTTTAATGGCGATTTCGTTTGATATGTCATAAAAAATTTCATCAATTAGGCATAGATTTTGATGCAAGAAACTTTTCTAAATTAAATTAAAGGACTGCAGACTTAGAAATAAACAAATTTATAGTAAAAAGAAAGATTTTGATGAGGTGAGTCAAATTACATCAAAATTGTTTTGATCTTAGTTCAATTGTGCTCAAATCAAGCACCCGAAGCCTATTTGAAAAATCTATGACATTAATTAAAGGACCAAATAATCTCCAATTTTTGTGTGCTTATTGATGAGCGTCTCAATGAGAGGAATAGAGGAATCCAATAAGCCAAATATCACTTAATTCTAATATCATTAAGGCACTTAAATAGCAAAAAACAACTTATGATCAAGGGAATCAATGCGGACTTTTCAATAAAGTATTTTGGAGATTTTGGCCAAAATAGCAAAAATATTGCTTCAAAAAATCATATATAAACCTACAATCTCCACATGAAAGGACTCAGAGCTAAATTTAATGAGATCTTAGAGAAACTCTAGAGCGTTGTTCAACGATTGTTGTCGAGAACAACCACTTGCAACTTCTATTACCTGACCACCATTGCCCAATTGCCATTTCCTGACCTTCTTTATTCGATTGTCATCGCGTGATCACCATTACTTTATTTTTTTCATTAGATTGCCTCACCCAATTGTCATTGCTTGATCGATGTCATTTGACAATTATTACCTAATCATCAATGCCTGATTGTCATCACCCTTTTGTACTTCTCCAACAATCTCTACTATAGCCATAAGAAATCAAGCTAGTGTTTACACATTTGTATTCATGTTTTCTCTAGAGAGAAGAAAATGTTATAATTTTGTTTAGATAGTTGATCATTTCAATTGGATTGGGATATAATTTTTCTTCCTTGATTTTCACGAAAAATTGTGTATCTCTTATAACTTTCTTTTAATTGTGTATCTCTTATAACTTTCTTTTATCTGTATATGTGTTGGCTTTTTATACTAAACTAAGACATTAAATCTTTCATTCTACTAGAACAAATATTTTTGCATGTAATGTCGTCTATGAGAAATATTTCTAGCATTCTACAAATACTTCTTCAATGGATGACAACTAATCCCTCAACAAGGTTAACATAATTCAACTATTGAAGGTGAACTAGGCTTTAGTTTGAAGGATCATATGCAAATAGTGGAGGAGAATCAAGCTCAAATCCTTCGGTTCTTAGAGAATAATGGACAACAAAGAGCTCTATCAAAACATGATAGAGTTCTCCCACCACAAAATCAATAGCAAGCTTGGGCTAATTAATTTGATGGCACCTTTGTAACACCCCCTTATCATCATGCTGTAGCTTTTCTTCCCCCACAACCTTATCAACATCTCTTGGACATAATTAGTTCAACCTATTCTTCTTGTACTGCTCGGGTAACCCATAATATTTTGATAGTTTTCGTGGACTTGAATCAACCTTTCCTTCTCTATATCCCTCTTGATATCATAAGAAATGAGCTTCAATGCCTTATTAAGAAGGAATTTCATTTTAGGGATAGAAATCAACTTTATATTTGACGCAACTTTTAGGAATCTTTTCCTTCGACTGATGTTGTTCTATAATCATTATGATGGGTCCTCTGATCCTTATGGTCTTATCAATCATTGTAGGAATATCATCCATATCCAATGGGCTTCTTATATACTTCTTGTCAAGTCTTTGTTACTGTCACACCCCAGTTTGGATCACCCACTAACAATCAAACTGGAGTATAACAGAGAAGGAAAGAAATCTATTCTGACTCTCCTAATACGTCAACATATCAAACTCCACACTTAATAAAAGGAAGCATGTAATGTACCTCAAGTAACATCAAATATAAACAATGTAAATATAGAGCTCTACTAAAACTTTCAAAATTTACTTACATACCAAAAGGTTTATACAGCTATCCTTAAGATCTCCTCTAAGATCTCTTTGTACAGCAAAACATATATACACAAAAAACGAACGATCACCTCTTTCTCGCCTAGTGCCCTACGGGCTCCTTTCCCTTACCTGCAGTATAACAACTGCTAATGAGCTAGGGCTCAATAAAATACACCAGCAATGTAAAGGAAATAATAATAACATTTTAATCATTAAGAAATGCATAACATTAGTGACTAAATAACATGATTAAAGCACCTTCCGCATAAGGCACAAGAAAACATAGCAGTACTTTCCATCTTACTAATTGTTCAACACCATTTTTAACAAGTCAAATAATGGCTTTAAACTTTTGAACCATTTCAGCTTTTCAATTCAAGGTTGGGTCTAGCTTCCCAACTTTTAGAATTGAAGTTATTTTCTCAATTCAGGGTTGGGTCTAAATTCCTAACTTATAGAATTGAAATTATAGGCTTGCCTATTCCGGTCTTTCGCCTTTACTAGTGCAGGCTTATCCCCCAACATATGACTTATACTCTTTTTCATTTCAAGAACATTGTCATAATCATATCCAACGATTATATAAATTAAAATAAGTACATGTGAAATTCACATATGAAGCAATTGAACTATTTGAAAAAGAAAAACATGCTATCATGGGAAAGGAAATGTTAAACATGAAAAAAACATCAAATTGAAATTTTATAAAATTGTTACTATTTCTTATGCATCGTTGGGTATCTCACCTCACTAGGGATTCGTTCTTCCTATTTTCTTCTTCTTTTGTACACTACCTACAACATACAATTCTTTATTTGCACATGTACAAAAAAATAAAGGAACAAGCTATATGAACATCTTACTACTTACCTCAACTAAATTCTTCCTCATTAAATAGTAATCTGATTCTTTTCTTTCCTTCCTATGTTTCTTTCGTATTTCCAGAAATTTACCATCACAAACTCAGTCATAACTAACTGATTTCAGCAACATTAATTTTCGAAATTCTTTTTTGTTCCATCAGCTAACTTAACAATAGTCTTACCCCTTTTTTTTCTACTGATTTCCACATTCAGCATTCAAAATGATTTACAGAAATCCACAATTTATGCATTCCTGCATTCAGAAATTCAAAAATTCCTCACTAATTTGCATACACTCACTCTTATAGAAAATATTGCTGGGGAAATACTAGTATTGCCTTTCTATATTCCTCATTACCTGAGAAAGAAATACCCAAACTGCAGCTTCGACACCAACAGTTGATTCAACACTTATTTTTTTTCCTTCCAACAGCTTTGTTGATTTCTCCTTCCAGCAACTTTGCTGATTTTTCCTTCCAGCAATCGAATCCTCCCAGTTTCCCTACTTTCTTACCCGCTGCTTTACCTCCAGGTTTCGGGACTGCTAGGTTTTGGCTGAGAGAGGGGATAAAAGGAATTGGTATTCTAATTTTAATGCTCTATGTTTTATTAAATAATATTATTCTAATGTAGTACATTTTCCACTACCTTTCCAATACCATATCAACTATCTGATTTACATCAGACGCATGCATGAGTGGCTAAGTGGACCTAACGCAACCCTCCACTTTTCTCATCCAGGACTTGGGACCTGGCAACGACAGTGTTAAATACAGTGACAAGTGTGAAGGAAATGCCCATTAAACATGAATTAAATGCATTCTCTCACTAATCCTAATTAATCTATTTGCAAGAAAAAAATGCTTGGATATACAATATTTAATTACTAATAAATATCTAATTAACTGCTACTAACATAAACGATAATTAAATCAATAACTATATATTTATACCATTCGATTCATATTTTGATTGAAATTGAAAATATATTTTTAATTAAAATACATTAACATTCATAAAAATTTATACTTATATTTATTTTGAATACTTGGGTATTATAGTTACCATGCTTAATTATTAGCTACGCACTTGATTTTACTCTCTTTCTAGTAGGACTTTCCACAACTTTGTCGATCTCTCCAGGTTCTTTGTAAAACAATTTATTGCAAATCGAAAGATAATCAGTGACTCATATTTCTAGGATTTGTCAAAATAAGGTAGTTTTTTAAAAGAGTTCTTTCAAAGATTCTCTTTAAATACTTATCAAATTCTAGTAGTAGATCCAGTGCTGCTATGAGATATTTTTCTTGAAGGATTCCACCCTGGACCTGTACTTGATGTGAGAGACAAATTACTCTTATGTTGATCTTATTCATTGAGTAAAAGCATAAATAATTATAGATGAGGTCATTAGTGCTCATTAGGGGTGTAAGTGAGCCGAGCCGACTCGAACTCGACTCGTTAACGAGCTCGCGAGTCGAGCTTATCGAGCTTCGAGCTCGAGCCTACAATCGAGCTCATATGATAAACAAGCTCGAGTTCGAGCTCAACCTGACTCGACTCGAAAGCTTATCAAGCTACTCGATATATATATATATATATATAATTTATAATATTATTTTTATATATAATAATACACATCACATGCGTTGGTGCTTCTCAAACGAGCTGGAGCTTGAGCTTGATATTTTCTAAATGAGTAGATCTCGAGCCCACTAATCGAGCTCGAGCTCATTAAGAATTAAACGAGCCAGGCTTGATAAGGCAAATATTTGACTCGTTTACACCCCTAGTGCTCATCATAATTAGTTCGAATAATTCTTATGTGAATGTAAGAATTTATAATAAGAAATTGATCAATCTCTCCAATAAAGAAAACAGAAATAGTCAAGAGATTCGAGCCACCCTTTTCACTAAATTCAACCTAAGTTATTTTATTATACCCCATCACATCAATGGCTAATATTCTAAGGAGATCCAAAATTTTGAAAATCTCAAGCAGCCAAAATCACTAAAAAATCTAAATGGTGGATGTTGATCGTAATATTGTCGCTTCCATCGTTCAAGAAGTCAATAGAAAGATGTATTCATTTTAAGAAAGAGATTGAAATTTTATTTGCCATGGACACTTAAGATGTTATTTATGGGAGCAATCTAAAGATTGCTAGCCTCATAACAAAACAGATCACATGATATATAGCATGAAAATTGTTTGAACCATTAATTTTGTTATAAGAATGCCACCACAACCTATTTATCCTAATGCACAAGAAGATGCTTCCAAGAATAACCAATATTTTTGATAATTTTGACTTTGGGGGAATGTATTATCCATATCAAGATTCTCTAATCATATCAGCTATAATTAAGAGGTCTATTATCAACACCACAGATTTTCGTTGATGCATGTAATTAAATGGATATTCTATCCCAACTACATCCACGAATCATAAATTAACCCATGTAAGCTTCAATCTTATTCTCATGATTTTGGAGGACACACTAGATAGATTTTTAGCACAATCATCCTTCCAATCACCTTGGGTAAACCACTCTCACCATCAATTCTTATGATCCAGTTTATGATAGTATATATTGGATTGATCTATATTGTAACATTCATTTAATCTCTACTTTCTTTTTTTATGGAAATTGCATCTATTCTCCAAGTGAAGATTAAGTTTCTTAAACTTTGGGATATTGAAGAAATAAGGGATAATTAATTTTTAGCTCGCTCATGTTGCATCCAATTGATCCAACAAATCCAACATGCTATCCCATCATTGGCGTTGCTGAAAGAATTTGAACTCATCTCAGCGGTTCCTCATTTCATTAGGATTTTGAAAGAGTTTACATCTCACCAAGATATAGTTTCTATACCTTGGAGTTAATTATTGATCTATCTTTTCCAAGTTTCTATCTAAACTATCATTTATCTCTTACTAGATATTAATAAAATTTCCTCATTACAAAAAATATTACATCTTCCCTTATTTAAAAGACTCCAAAAGGGTAAATGACATATAGTGTCTCCACTCTAAACTTCTGGAAGGCATGCATATAAGAAAGCCTTAATGAGAAGCTAATAATGAAGAGGGCCACTAGAAAGACTCTATAAGATCAAGTGATTGACAGAGTCTTCACTCATCGAAAATTCTCAAAAGACATCAGTCTAATAAGGTACATGTTCTTTTTTTATCTAAAAATATGATTATTCATAAACTGCATAATGTAAAAGTTTCCTTATTTAAAAATCTCAGCAGCCATAACCCTCTAAAAGATATAGATTAAAGGATATAATCCTCAAAATATACATATTCTTTCTCATATAAAAATTTAAGAAAGCATAAGACTCAGAAGATATATGTTTCTCTGTTTATTAAAAAAATTCAGAATGTATATATTTTTCACTCTTTTAAAATTCTTAAAAGGTGTAAGTCTAAGAATGTATAAGGTTTTCACTCATCATAAAACATTAACAAATATAAGCCCATAATTGATAAGATTTTTCATTTAAAAGCCTCATAAGGTACTAAGTCTTTATTCATCTATGGACATCATGGATACCGACTAATTTAGAAGCTCCAATGAGTACATAGTTATAGCAAAGTCTTTATCAATTAGAGAATCTAGGTTCTTATATTCTAACTGAGATGGGGGGCTATATATATATATAATTTTTTTTTCTGTGAACTTAAAGATTCAATTTCAATACGGAAATTTTCTAACAAGATATGTAGATTTTAAATACATCTCAAAGACATTTAATGTGCTTAGTCTCCTTTTTTTTTTAGGGGGGGATTGGGGAGGGGTGTTTGTGAAATTCTTAGAAATCTAGAACTCTTACAAAAAGATTGAGAGTTCATAAGCTATCTTCATTATTTCTAAAAACTTGATTTTAAATACCAGCCAAGCTTGCATATTAATACATAAAGTAAAGTACATTCAAGAAGTTTTATTTTAAAGCTGCATATATAATTATTGGGCCGATATGGTGTTAGAACACTACAATCACCAGAGATTTCTTGAGCTCTTCTACAAAATTCAAACCTTCAAAATCTTGCCTTAGTTTTTAATTTGCAGTCTCTTTTTTCTTAAAGTTTGTTATAGCTTTTAAGGATCTTGGTTTTTACAACTCATATCTAATTATATCAATGACATCAACATGAACCTTGATGCTTGATATCACCAATGTTAACATCCTACATTAATATCAAGTTGAGAATCAAGTGCCATTTTTTGTGGTACCTTAAAAAAACATTCATACATGATTGGAATAAAGATTGAAAGAAAAGAGAGACAAATTATTCTTTTAATGACATGAAGAATGCCAGAAAATTCATTTATCTAACCTCTGAAGATATTTTTCTGTGACAACATGGCATATGAATTATTGTCTAATAGCCACTCAAAAATTTATCGAGGATAAACCATTTTGAGAGAAATTCTTAAATTGTTTTTTTTTTGGAGAATCTAAATATCAAGGATAGCATCAATAAAAAAATTCAACTAATTTTAACAAGTGAAGAAGTCATACTAAATTCTATAAGTTTGTAGTTAGCAAAATGACATATTTGATGAGGTTTCTATTCATGAATTTTCTACCTCCCTAATGATTGTGTTTTTACATGATAACATTCATGATGGTAGCTAACAATATTAAGTACATGACAAAAATTTCAAAAAATATTAACGACTAGCTATGATGCACCGACACGGACACGTCGACATGGACACGGGACACAGCATTTTTTAAAAATATAGGACACGGGTGCGGCGTGGACACGGCATAATAATTTTTTAATATAATATATAGTAATTAAGGTGACATTATATTAAAAATGATAAACAATAATAAAATAATTTCATGATAACTAGGTACCGAGCTTGCACTAAGCGGTACCTAGCGATACCTAGCGGTACTGAGCATGTACCTAGCGATACCGAGCATGTACCTAGCGATACCTAACAGTACCGAGCATGTACATTAGCTTTTTTTGGAAAGTTTCAGAAAACAACAATTAATATTTCAAGCGTCGAGGGTCAAGTGTCGATGCAATTTATCAGTCACCGAGAGAGGAGATGAAAATATCTTCACTGCCAAAAAGAAATGAAAATGAGAATATTCGATGATTGGGAATTAAGTGCGGACGTTGATTTTGTGTTGTGGATAGGAAATAAGAAATTTATTTTAAATCCCGCAAAATACAAGAAATTATAATTAAAAAAATTCATAAAATATTTAAGATACGCGTGTCCAATTTGCATTTAATATTTTTTAATTGGAGGAGTGTCGGACGAGTATCTTGTCGGACACGGTGTCGGACACTGCACGCCTCTTTGAGGAGAAGTGTCGGTGTATCATAGACGACTAGTTTGATCGTAGAAATTCACCAAATACCTAAACATCACAAGTTTGGCATTAGGATGTTCTAAAATCAATTTTTTTTAGAAATGAAAATGGTAGAATTTTGTAATGAGAAGTTTTGGGAGAACTATGCAGATGCATATGATCATCCAACAAAAAAATTTGACCAAAATTTTGACCTGATATTTGTGGATAGTTAATCTTTTTTGGAGGAGAAAATCAGAGCCTTAAAACAAGAGTGAAAAATTCTCCCACATCTTATCTGTTTAAACA